CTTGGAGTGAAAAGCTGAAGAAAATGTTGTTAGAACAAGGCTTTAAGCAAGGTAGTGCAGACCAATGCTTTTACACAAGAAATAAAGATAGACAGTTAGCTTTTATTTTATGTTATGTAGATGACCTGCTCATAGGTGCTTACAAACACTGTACTAGCCAGGTTGCTTAGTTACAAGATAAGGCCACACTGGACGGTACAGAGGCACAACTAGGAATCAACTTTGGAAATTTCCACTCTCAACTCACACACAGAAACCAAGATGAATTCATTCTGGCTAACTTTGTGATTGCAAATCCCATCAATAAATCATTTTATGAACTTTCATAACCAAGCTTATCACATTACATACATTGGGTTTGCAAGAAGCTAACATCGTAGCAACACCTATGCAAACTGATTTTTTGAAAAATAAGAATGAAACTGATCCTCTAACAATAACAGTGAATATAGAACAGCCATAGGGAAACTCCTATACCTGTTGACCACTACTAGGCCTGATATAGCAACAGCTGTGGGGAATTTTGAGTAGAAGAGTTAATTCCCCTACACAAGCTGACTGGAGTGCAGTTAAGAGAGTAGCTAGGTATCTAAAGAGTACAATAGATCTTAAGTTGAAGCTACCAGCTACAGGGACATGGTGGCGCTGTGGGTTAAACCACTGAAGCCTCTGTGCTGCAAAGTCAGAAGACCTGCAGTCGTAAGATCGAATCCACGCAATGGAGTGAGCCCCCGTTGCTTGTCCCAGCTCCCGCCAACCTAGCGGTGCGAAAGCATGCAAAATGCAAACAATGTGAGTAGATAAATAGGTACCACCTCAGTGGGAAGGTAAACAGTGTTACATGTCTAGTCATGCTGGCCACGTGACCATGAAGGATTGTCTGTGGACAAAACACTAGCTCTATGGATTGGAAACGGAGATGAGCACCACCACCTAGAGTTGGACACTACTGAACAAATTGTCAAGGGGAACTTTTACCTTTACCTTTTTACCAGCTAGTAACTCTCCAAGACTTGTATGCTATATAGATGAAGATTGGGCAGAGGATAGTGTAGTGTAGACTATAAATCCACCAGTGTGTTCTTATTTTTATATGGTAATGGTTTGATATTATGGGCTACTCATAAACAGAGTGTTACAGCTTTATCATCCACAAGGAGTTTATAGCAGCATCTGAGGCATGTAGAAAACTCCTGTGGTTGAGAAAACTTCTAAAGGACTTTGGAGTGGAAGTAGCAAAGCCATTCCAAATGATGAAGGATAACCAAAGCTGTATTATGCTATCGCAGGCAGAGAGGATGAATGCCCGCATAAAACACATCGGTGTGAGAAACCAGTTTGTGCGTGATCTCCAATTGAATGGCATGATTCAGATGATGTATTGATCAACCAAAGAAATGATAGCTGACATCCTGATGAAGCCATTGTCTAGAAACTGTTTCCAGTGCCTATGGGAGAAGATGGGACTTCTGGCCAGCTCATGCATGGAACATTGAGAAGGAGTGTTGGGTTTTTTTTTCGTACAATGGAATGCAGCCATGCATGTACCTTTGTCCTTTAATAGCCTGGCTCTCTCTATTTTCTTTGTATCATGTCTCAGGCTATTACAGTAATAGATACACCTGTTCTTTTTTTCTTCTCTGGGTATAAGGGAAAGCCTTACCTACCTTTTCACCAGATGCTAGTCGATAGCCGAAGCAGTTGTTGTGTGTTGTATCTGCTGCTATCTCATCTTTTACCTTGATATGCCTGCTCCTTCTTTGATTCAGCTTGCTTTATGTTTTTCCTCCTGAAGCCGAGTCATTTTGTTCTGTTTTACCAGCAACCTCTTTTTTGGTATGTATTGTTTTTTGTTTTGTATGTTTAGCAAAGCTTATGTTACATTTTTACATACAAGCTCTTAGTTTTCTTTTATTAAGCTGTGCATAGCAAATGGGTGGTTTTAAGTCTGTTTGATATTTTTATGGTAGATGTATATTAGGTTACTTCTTCATATATATTGTTTGTTTGCTGACTTCTTTTTTGGTTCACGTCTGGTGCCCACTGAGTATTCTACATGGCTGCGGATACCCTGATGGTCCTTTCTTTTTGAGCCAACAATTCTCAGCATTTATCTGGAAATATCTTTAATAGCAAATAATCTAACAGGAAGTAGTAAGCACTCTGGTGCTGGAGGCAGTCAAGAGAAAATTGAAGAAACGTCTATCAGATCTGCTTTGATCTCTATCCTTGCACTGAGCAGGGACTTGGACTCAATGGCCTTACAAGCCCCTTCCAACTCAATCATTCTGTAACTCTGATTCTTTATTTTCAAAAGTTGCTTTTTTAAATGCAGGGACATATCTAACACCATATGCAGTTTGCTCCTAAGTATATTTGCATTTTCAAAATAACTCATTTGTCTTGTTTCAGATGTGGAACGTGTATCTTTCCATATGTTTATTATATTGCAGCTCCAATTCAATCTCTCATTGCCTTTGTTGCCTACATGGCAAATAGCAGTGGTAGCCCAGCCACCTCTGTAATACCACTTGTTCCTCATTCCTGCCTTAAATATTTAGACCCACACTTAAAATCTTAGTAAATATTTGTATCAAAACGTGAAGTGGCCTCAGGTTTATTTTCTCATGTGACATATGTGATATGGAGAATTCTCAGTTTTTCCAATTAAAATGTATTTTTTTTAAAAAAATGTACTTATTTCAGTCAAAAAGAAAAGAGGAAATATGAAAAATACAGTTACAGACAAAACATATAAGTTGATCATATGACGAAAACAAATTTGGAGTGGACATTGGTAAAAGAGATGTTCGTGGGCAGCTGAAGTAGTACTCCACTCCACATGATCTTAGCCAAAAGGCTGAGAAGTGATTAGTAAGTTCGGACTATCAAATGGTGGAGAGTGTATGTTTATCTTTTCAGCTCTATTAAGTTACTTCATTGGAACTGAGAAGCATTTTAACAGTTGTACACTTTTTGGAACCACAGGGCCTCATGAAGATCTCAACACCTCCTTGTATTCTTCTCTCATAAGGTTTGTGTAATACATTAATTTCTACAAGGGAAATATTATTTAAATGAGATTTTCATGACCCATGAAATAGACTGATTCTCACCCTCATATTATAGAGTCATTAAAATGTCAGTTAAATTTTACAGCAGGAGCTTCCTGTCTTGTTTAATTATAAGGTATTTGTCTGCGCATCCTGTGTGGGCACAATGTGATCTAGTATGACAAGCAATTCTATATGACACACGCAAAGTCTGGCACATGGGGCTTATTGCATAAGAGTTTAATCTACTTGATTTGATAGGTTTTTGCACCAATTAAATGAGCTTAGGGAATCATCCAAGCTTTAAGGTCACTCTCCATGAAGCTGGGCTATCTCACCAACAAAGGAGGCAATTTTCATCTGTCTATGAGGACAGAAAACAGTATTTCATTTGAGGTTAATGATCTAACCTTGACATACTCATTGTTAGGAAGGCAATGGAAGGAAAGATGGTGAATGTGCATGCAGGGTGCCTAGCAGCATCCAAATTCCAGTTGATCATATTATCTGTCACAGCAAGCGGAACAGATAGGCAGGTTTATTAACAAGCGAACATCTGAATTTCTGAATGCATGAATACAAAGATTTTCCCTCAGGGAATTCTCTCAGTGATTTGGATTCAATTGTGTTATTATTGCTGCATGAAAGTACAGCAATGATTTTGTCCTGGCAGAGCAAATGAACATTCTATAAGGCAATTCTAAAAATGGAGACAGCCCAAACAAACAAAAATTATAACTTTTAAGCTGGGCTTCAGATTAACATCAAGTTTGGCACAGTTGTATCAGACAATCTGCTCTTGCTGTGTGCCAAAATTGTGCACGTTTTGGGAAAGAGGTTTTGAGTTATGATTTTCTAGAAGTAAAACTTTTATCCCCTGTTTAGAAATGGGCAACTCTAAATGTCCCCAGATTTCAAACAGATCACATACATTGAAAAATCCAAGTTTGCTTATCTTGAAAGAGAATAGATAACCAAATGCATTTTCTGTTTGGAATGAATTGAGGCTGCAGAGGCTGAAATAGTGATAATCAAAAAAGGCCTTTTAAATGGAAAAAACAATTACTCTGTTATAGGACTGAGCATGTGTGGTACGGTCTACCTAACTGGGGCTTATTTTTGGGGTAGGGCTTATATTAACAGCATTCTGAAAAATTATACTAGGACTTATTTTCAGGTTAGGTCTTATTTTTGGTGAAACAGGGTAGCTAGCAGGAGCTTTGCAAAATGTAACATTGTATACAGTCAAAGGTGGGGGAGGGAGATACTTAGAGAGAAAGGTCGCAGAAACAGAATGAAAACACAGGTTTTCTTTAAAGAAAAAAAAGAGAGAGATTTGCTTTCAAGGAAAAAATGGAATGATACTCCTCCAAAAAGGGAGAAACTTTGCCATGTATCTTCAGTAAACTTTCTCTCAGAATTTCTAAGACCAGTCTCCTGACATACATTTTCAAAGGGAGCATCAGCTCCACATCTGGGGCAATCTTTTGACCCTGTACAATCAGGACACAATTATCTGATTCCCAGATAACTGTTTAACTTTTAACCCTTTATTAGCATACGAGGCTTAGAAGAATCATGTTTGTAAGGCAACTCTGAGTCTGGTTGTATAAATGTAGACACTATTAAATACAGATATTGAAAACATTGTTTTAAAATATATAGCTCAGTGGTTTAGGTTTCTGGATGTGGAGCCAAAGGCTGGGAGTTTGATTCCCCATTCTGCTTCCTGATAGGGGCTGGACTCACTGATCCATAAGGTCCCTTCCAGTCCTGAAGTTCTAAGATGATGATGATGATTTTTAAATGAATACAGAATGAATATTCAGAAGCTCAGTCATTTAAACTGTGAAATTACTATATTTTGCTTTGTGGGTAAGGTTGGTCATACTTGATGTTAGCAGAGATTTGGTGCTAGTCTTCTGTCATAGACTCCATTCCACCCATCTTGTCACTTTACAATTGCTTGGCAATTTTTAAAGAAAACTCGAAAGACATTACATGCAATCAACTCACTTCCTAACCAGGTCCTGAGTACCACAAAATATTAAATCCAGAGTCACCTGTCCTTTGGTGGGCTCCATGGCAAGTTATTCCAAGGCACAGTCATTTAGCATATTGTGACATGTACCCCGTGTCCTTTGTTTATTTTGCCTTAAACACAAGTCCACCCTCTGGATTTGTGTCCTCACTTCACGCTGCCACCAGGTATTATTCTCTTAATACCAAACAGATCTTAGACACGTGCTGCCAATTCAACAGATTTGTTGATAATATAGATGTTATGCAAATCACAGGAGTAAATCACAGATGTTTAGGATTGTTCATTAAATATCATTTGCTTTTACTTTGGTTTGTATGTATATTTCTTCACTATTACAATACTCTCTATTTATTTATTTACTATGCATTTGAACTCCTTCCCATTATTTCTGGCCTTCCAACTTTCCAATCTCTGTCATCTTTCTCAAATCAATCTCCTAACTCTCTCTTCAGTTCAACCTCTGTTCTCCAACTCTCTCTTCCCTAACTGCCTGTCTAACTGTCTAACTCTCCTCTTTGTTTCACCCCTTGTGTTTTCTCTTTGGCTCCTCCCCTTGAGCTTCTAATGATGTCACCCCTTCTGTCTTCTCATTGGCTCCTCCCCTTGAGCTTCTAATGATGGACAGGCGTGACATGGGGGTTCCGCTACACATATCAAGAAACCCGGTCTCTCTTTCTTGACCCAAGCATGCATTGGCCCAGTTGATATGAAGTCCCCAATGATTACCATCCTGAAGTCCCTCTTGGACACCTCCCTGATTTGTCTCCCCATTTCAAGATCCCCTTCAATTTTTTGATCTGGAGGACAGTACCCTCCACCACCACCCGCACTTTCACACGGCTCCTCAGGCCTGGCAGTTTAACCCACAGTGATTCTAAGATCCCCTCCACCACCACCCGCACTATCACACGGCTCCTCGGGCCTGGCAGTTTAACCCACAGTGATTCTATGATGGAGCCAGACCTGCCGTCCATCTCCATTCTACTGGATTCTACCCCTTTTTTGATATAGATGGCCACCCCACCTCCAACACACCCCTCCCTATCCCTCCTATAGAGTTTATAGCCTGGAATTGCGGTATCCCACCCACCACCACCCGCACTATCACACGGCTCCTCGGGCCTGGCAGTTTAACCCACAGTGATTCTATGATGGAGCCAGACCTGCCGTCCATCTCCATTCTACTGGATTCTACCCCTTTTTTGATATAGATGGCCACCCCACCTCCAACACACCCCTCCCTATCCCTCCTATAGAGTTTATAGCCTGGAATTGCGGTATCCCACTGGCTTTCCGAGTTCCACCAGGTTTCCATTATGGCCACTACTGTATATCAATGTTATCCTTAGCCACCAAATGTTCCAGCTCTACTATCTTTACTTGGACATTTCTGGCATTTGTATAAAAGCACCTGCGTACAGGGTCCCCCAAGAAGGGCTGCTTGTTTGCTCCCAGGATCTGGATTTTGCATACAGCTATTCAGAGTTGGCCCTGCCATTAGACTGACATACTGTGAAAATGCAGTAGTAAAATTTAAGTGTGAAGAAAGAGCAGCATGGATTTGTCTGCCTGCCTGCCTGCCTGCCTGCCTGTTTTTTACATGTTTAAGGCTACATTTCTCCTGCTGAAGGGACTCAAGGCAGCTCATATATTGTTAAAACAAACACAAAGGATATTACATAAACCATTTTTAAAACTATAAAGCTATTTAAACAAATTTAAAAACATTAAAACATTGAAAAACCTTAAAACGATATTTAAAAAGTATCCCTAGGGCATCTAGCGATGTTAAAATTAGATGTTAAAAGCCCGTCTGAAGATTGAAAGACACATGCACATTGTTAATTAGTGTTGTTGTTATTCCATTTTTACTGCAGGGAGGAGGGGGGCTTGAGGCGGCATGCCTCTTCACATGCCCCAATAATTTGCCTGTGGCCTGAGTCCAACTTTTGAGTCATCTGTTGAATAGTAAATCATACTGATTCAAGTGGTTTACTTCAGCTGGGATTACCGATTGGATTTTGACCTATGGAACATCTGCATAGGAGTTCTACCTCAGATGACAGACCTAGACTGGTTCTGCAGATATCCATTCACTCTCCTGTCCCTGAGGTCTAAACATAAACACTTTCATGGACAGATTACAAATATCTATGAAGCTTTGCCTGGAATTCCCACCTATTCAGCACACAAGTCTTGTTTTTCACATCTGGAGACGTTTATTACTGAACTCTTTTCCCAGAGATTTAATGATGCAGTCTTTTGATGCCTCATCTCAGTTGTGTTGTGCAATTATATATGATTGTCATCACAGATAATTACTCTATGGAGGCTGTGTGTTTCTGTAATGTATGAGTACCTGTGTTATTTTAGTTACTTGAGTTTTGTAAGTTTCACTAACCTGGTCAGCCTCCTTGAGCTTTTCTGGAAAAGGGCTTTAAAGAAGATTTAATAAATAATTAATTTAATAAGAATGCTGTTTATTGAAGTGAATCTCTGCATATTTAGCTGGGGCAAATGATAATCTTGTACTTATATCTCATCTGATTGTGTTTTCTTCACTTTTCTGGAGTTGTTTCGGTCTGCAGTGCCCTTTGCAACCTTTGTTTGGGAACTTGCTGAAGCTAAAATGGAGTAGCAGAGCCTCGTATGCTTTAGTCAGATGATTTGTTTTATTTCTGCTCATTCTTATCCACCCTGATGGGCAGCACCTCTCCTAAATCTTAGGGAGGGGCTGTTCCCCAGCCACCTGAAATTCTTATTTTAATTATGACTCCAGTGGCTCTGCTGCCTAGCGGTGATGGGAGCTCTAGTCTAAAAATCTGAGAAGTGTGAGAACTGGGGATACTGTGACCCCTAATAAGAGCTTGGAACGAATGTGTTAGAAGTAACAATGTTACCCAAAACTGGAGATGGGCATGAATTAAAAAATAAATC